CCACGTTTAGGTGCCTGGGGAGAGAGAAGCAAACATCTGTTTCATGTAAGCGCCTGGGCTGGTGCAGGCAGGTCCTCTCTGGCTGTGTGGGGCGCCTCAAGCACGTTGTGCCCTGCACTCGAGTGTACCATGCCTGCAGGTAGAGGGTGAGCAGGTGGGCACTGAAGAGGCTTGAGTGCCACTGGAAGGGCCTCCTGATTCTTACCAGGAGGCAGTTTCCTGGGGACATATCTCTGATGTCTACGGTAAGGGAAGCTGGAGCTGGAAGGCGCTCTCCAGCCGCCGCTAGCCATTTGGACCACTGGTGTTATGCCTCTTGCTCCTGTCGGCCTGGCTGGTGGGGATACCTATGTGGGCCCAACAGTGAGTCAGCAGGAGCTGGGTTAGGACAATGCCTAACTACTGGGATCTGGGCCCACAATATCCCCTGGAGGACAGCAGTGCCACCGCCCAGGAGAGGTGTGGTAGATGAGACAGTAGGAACTACTGGTCTGGTAGTCAGGAAGAGTCCTAGCGTGTCAGAGGCTTGGGGGTTGGGGGATCAGAGGAGGTGGTGGAAGGAGGGATGAGTCCTGATTTGGGAGCGAGTTAGGAGGGGTCCCTTTAGGCCCCGCTGAGGCCGACTCCCTCTGCCCCAAGATTGTCGTAACTCCCTAACAGAGGTGCCCACTGTATGCCTGAATGCTTAGTGAGAAAGAAGAACACGTGCCCTTATAAAGGCTAGTAGGCCTTTATATAAGCCTGAGGACTGTCAGGCACTTACTGGTTAGCTTTACTGTTTTACTGGTTAATCATTTAGTTGACATAAATTCCCTTGGAGGACTTAGGTACCAAATAGAATATGCAGAGGAACAAAAAAACCAAGTGTGGTGGTGCTTTTCTCCTTTGCTTACCTTTCTGCTCTGCCTCCTTTCCTTAAGCACATCATCTAATTCTAGCCACAGGACCTTTGCACAGCCATTTCTCCTACCTGCAATGCCCTTTCCCTATCCCCTTAAAGTGAGCCTCTCTGTATCATTCAGATTTCAACTTCAATATCACCTCGTAAAAGGGGCCTTCCCTGAGCACCTATTCTGAATCTGTCACCCGGACACTCTCCAGCAAATCAGTTGGCTTGAAATCTTTGCAGAGCATTACTACAGTGTTTCTTGTTGGTCTTCACATCGTCCTGTGAAGGCAGCCACTGTGTTCATCTCATTCTCAGATGTGAGCCAGCACCTGGCAGAGCCAGGGAACATCAACATCTTATAGTGACTGAGCGAAGAAGCCCAGTGGTCACCCTTGAGCCTAGCGTGATGATCAGAGGCACCAGTTATAAAGTCATGCAGACCCAGATGTCAGTGTTGATTTTGCCACTGATTAGCTGTAAGATCTGAACCCGGTTACAGTTTTTGATCATACAGTCTGTGCCTTGGTTTCTCATTTGTTAAGTGAGCCTAATGGTAGCTCCAATCTAGTGTGGCTATGAGGTTTACATGAGATTGTGGATGTTGGACCTTTTGAAGAGTTTCCACCATAGTGAATGCACAGTAAATTGTAGCTATAGATTTCATTATCACCACTACTACCACCACCACTGCCATCATTACCACAATCATCATCACCAGCATCACCATCACTACCATCATCATCCCCTACATGCTGCACAGAGTCCCACAAAGAGTCCACATCATGGACTGGATGACTAGAGATTGGTGAACTTGGGTCTTCTTGCTCTGGAAAGCCATAGCTAGCACCTCTAGGCTGATGGTTGGATCTGATGGCAGTGACATCACTCCCATGTCAGGAACCCTGAAGGGGGGTCAGAGGGGGTGATGGCTTTCCTTGGGAGAATGAGCACCATGTGCAGCACTTTTAGCTCTGCAGATGTGATGCTTGTTGCCATGGTGACCGTCCTAACAATAACCTCCCAGAACTGATATTCCCCACACCCGCCCCAGCTGCCACCTGGGAGGGAGAGCCCTCCTTACTGACGAAAGCCATCTAGAAAGGATAGGGTGGGAGGCGGAGATGACATGGGGGTGGGAAGGAAGAGGGCCCTTCCTGAATGAGGGTTGGAGGCAAAAGCCAATGAGAGTACTCCTCAGGTCTAGGATCCCAGAAAGAGTCATGGCTGGCAGCTTTTCCCCTTTCAGGGGAAAAACCTTTTGTGTTTGGAAGTGGGGAGTGAGTTGTTTGGTGAGTAGGGGACAGGTCACACTGGTTAGGCAGGGATAGCCTGCAGCCCTTCGGTAGCTCAATTGTGCCTACTGTGGCGCCCCGATCACACCAACACCAACCTTCCTTGCCAGCCTCACCATCACTTGATATCATTCCTTTAATATCTCAGTTCAGTGGAGGGGTTGCCAGGGATCCCAGACCTAAATAAGTAGAATGGGGAACTTAAATAACACCTTTTTGGTGACCCTGACTTTCTGTGAATCTTTGGTCACGGGCATTCTCCTCAAACAAGAAAAGTCACCTCAAAACACCCAGGGTGTTCCTGTGTTCTCTGGTGGAGCAAAAGAGGGTGTTGCAGGAAGTCACGTGTATGTTTGTGAGCCTATGAGTATGTGGGGGAATGTATCTGTGTATGTGTATATATGTGTGAGTGTGTATATGTGAGAGAATGTGAATGTGTATGTATGTGTGTGAAAAATACAAGAGGGGCTTTGTGGGGCATTGGGGTTTGAGTCCCCAGAACTTCCTGGCTATACAATGTTGGGGAAGTCACGTCACTTCTTTGTCACCACTGTCTCATCTAGTAAAGTGGGGGTAATATTAACACATGCCTGGTAGGATTGTTTGAAAATTAAATGAGATAATATACACAGAACACAGGTAAACAAATCATTGTCAGGGCTCTTCATGATTTTAATAACATTTTTTCATCAAGTAGACTTGTGCCAGTAGGAGTGGACGTGATCTTAGCAGTGAGCTGTTTGGTTTGTAGTCTGGAGAGTCTTTATTTACTGAGGGTTGCGGGTTTGCTCTTTTACTAATTGCATTCCATTCCATGTGTGGGACTTCTTCCTTCTCCTTCCGGAGCTCAGAAAGGAGCCTGCAGATGGCCCAGCATGTGTGAGGAGAGGCTCCTATGGGGCTGAACGCAATCCTGAGAGCAAGTTAATGCTGGTCTCGCGGGCCCTCACCTGTGAGAGACGGCCTCTGCCGTTAGGACAGTGCATGCGTGCTTGGGTTCCAGTGCTGAGTGAGGAGGTGGACGGACGCCACCCTGTCCTGCCGAATCACTACTGCACACTCTACAGAGCCTCTCTCTGCCCCTAGTGGAGGGCTTCCACCTTTCTGAAGTGTTCTTGTCTTCTAGCTACCTTCTGGGTGCAAGTTGGGTGTGCAAAACCACTCCAGGCAGAGACTTCTCACCACATGGACTGCTAATCTGCCCAACAGCTGTGTTCTGGAGGGGAAGGTCCCAGCTGCCCCTTCCCCAAAAGCTGTTCATTTGATCCTTTATTCATGAAACATTTATTGTAGCTTCTGAGGTCAGCACTGAGTGTCACCAAAGTAAAAGAGATGAGCAGGACAGGCCCAAACCCTATGCTTGGGGAGGCTGCAGCACATTAAGTGGCTCATGTCAGCTGGCAGCATGACCCAAATCCAAGGCTGGCTGCTGGAAACTTCCTTCCTCTGGGCCTGCCAGGACAGTCTGGAGTCCTGTGCCCTCTGAGGACTATGGAGGTGCCAGAGCCCAGTAGGTCCTCTTTGTTAACTCTGATGTTCACATTCTAGATGGCAGCTCAGGTACCTGCTGGCATGGGGTGGGGGAAGGAAAGGCTCTTATGTGGGAAATGGGGTCAACCCAGCCTCTCCTGCCCTCCCTGGTGTTCTCTTCTCCTTGGCTGCAGGGCAATTTTGAGAAAGACCCTCTTTTTTCAGGCCAGCAAAGGGGCAGGCATGTGGACTGGGTCTGGGAGTGGGGAGAATGTCTTTGTCTACCTGGTCAAGAGACTTGTGAACTCTCAAGGCCCCTGAACTACTGAGGAGAAACCCCTGTTCTTCCTACTCCCAGACCCTCAATATGAATTGCAAACCCTGGTCCCTGGGACTTTTATTCCAGACACTCTAATGTCAATGAGGGAGTAGCTGGGACCCTGTGAAGCAGGCAACCCCCCCCCAACACCTCCCCATGTCCCAGCACAGTGTACAGCCCTGGTCTGGGGGCTCCCCAGAGCTCTCCCAAAGGGAACTGGAGCAGGCTGTGGTGGAGCAGTGCACTGGCAGGACTGGCTGCTAGCATCTCCTCCTGGTGGTGTGAGAAATGAGCCCCGTGGAGGGTGGCACTTTTTGTCACCACCTACCCCCACTTCTTGAGCTCCCGCGCCTGCTCCACTCTTGCAGTCTGGATCACCAGGTGGGCCTTTGGCAGAAAGAAGGGCGTTCATTGCAGGCAGTCCCCTGTGTGTGTGTGCAGGGGGTCGCCAGCCAGGACCAGGAAAGCTGGCTCAGGCGGCCAGTGGTGCCCTTGTGCCAAGCAGGGCCGCATGGGCACTGGTGAGTGTGCAGGGTTCAGGTACCCGAGTGGGTGCAGAAGCGGTGTGTGCAGGGCGCCAGTGCGTGCGCAAGGAGCAAGTGCGTATGCAGGACGTGGATGCGTGTGCGGGAGCCGGTGCGTGAGCAGGGAGCGAGTGCCAGTGCACAGCGCGGGAGCGGGTGCGTGTGCAGGGAGCGTGTGCGGGAGCAAGAGCAGGTGCAGCGTGTGCAGAGCTCGGGTGCGTGTGCAGGGCGCGTGCAGTGGGTGGCGGGCGGGGCGGGCGCGGCGGCGGCGGTGGCGGCGGGAGCCTAGGGACCGCTCCATCACTGGCAGCCATGGAGCCGGAGCATTTTCCTCCCTCGGGGCATGCGCCGGGCGGGTGCAAGGAGCTGCCGGGTCTCCGGGGTCGGCGCGGCGGCGCCCTCCGGGGTCCCCCGCCCGACCCTGCACGCGCCGCTGTTCTTACTTGCCAATATCCTCGTAGAGCTGATATTCGTCGGTGAAGCGAGTGCAGGTCACTGTGGTGGCCATGGCGGCGATGAACGGGCTTGGCGTGCGCTCTGCTGCGCTCGGGCGGCGGCGGCTCCGGCTCCCGCTCGCGGGCACGGCGGAGAC